TCGCGGGCCACCGTCAGCGGTCAGCAGCGAGGTGCGCAGCCCGGCCACGAAACGCTCAAAGGTCAGATAGCCGCTGGCCGGGGCCACCTGGCGCAGGCCCTCCAGCACGCCGCGGGGCAGCTCGCGCGCGTCAGCACCCTGCCAGCGGGACTCGATCTCGCGCAGGTGCACGTAGCCGCGCCGCCGGTCGTCCAGGATGTCGAAGAGGGTGCGCAGGCTCTGCAGGAAGGCGCGCGGCAGCCCCTCGGTGCCCGGTGCAGTCGCGGCGGGCGGCACGCGGCCCCGCTGAGCCATCGCGGCCGCGGCCATGGACGCCGGGTTGTGTCCCCGCGTCCACACGCTCCTTTCTGGCCGCGGCACGACGGCGGAACCTGTAGGGTGCGCGGCCCTGAGCCACAATAGCTGCTACTTTTGAATGGGGCCCTTCTCGCGGCGTCAGCCCTCATTAGCATTCGCGGCAGTCATTGGCCGAAAGTAGCCTATCTTCTCGCCGATTGGCTGAACGGCCGCCGTCCCTGGTTTGATTTTTCTAGCTGAGAGGCCGGCCTGCAGCATGCCCTCCCGACTGCCGTGCCGGGGAGGGGCCTGAAGGCTGGCTGACCGGACCGAATACCCCAGCTCGGGCTTTCTCCCGGACCTCCTCTTCTACCTCCACGCCCACCAGCCCTGCTGCAGCGGCTCAGCCTTTTCTCTGGTCCAGCGGCCCCTTAGCCGCCCACCCTTTTCCGACAGGTAGGGCCCGGGGCCCTACAAAAAATCCTGTTTCTAGGAAGCCTCCCGGGGGAAGAATGGGAGGGCGCAACCCCTCCAGGGATCCCACCTCCCCACCCACCCCGCCAGCTCCCTCGGGTCCTCTTCGCTGAGGGTCTCCTGGCCACAAGTCCCAGCAGACTCTGAGGCCTCCTTCTCTTGCAGGAGGAAGGCCCCAAGAGGATCACAGGCTCCAGCCAGCTGGACGCTCCCCCTCACAGAGGCCTCTCTGTCCCCACCGCTGCTAGCTCCTCCTTTGCCCCCACTTCCAGACTGGCCTGTCCTGCCGGCTGCAGGACAAAGCCACTTTCTCCTGTGTCCCCAGATGCCCATCCGGTAACCAGTTCCCTTGGGCCCCTGGTCCTCTGCGGATACCTCCTCCTGGGTCTCACAACTTTGTTCCCCCCCCAGATCCTCTGTTTCAGCCTCGGTTTTGTTTCTGGCAGGGATCAAATTACTCCAGATGAGGTCCTTAGCCGGCATTCTTGCTCCAGGAGTCTATCTCAAGGCTAACTAGGAGCGTCCTCCAGGAGCAGGAGGTGCTCAGGGACTGTCTGGCTGGACCCCTGCCTCCACCACCTTTGCCTGTCCTCTAGGACCTGCCCTGGTCCCATCCACCCCCACCCTGGCTCCTGGACACTGAGGGTCACCCACATGTTTCCTGCTGCCTCTGCTTTCTAAGTACTCTATTCGTTTCAGAACACCTCTGGACAGGCTCCTGCCCAGAGGCCTCCCTTCAGCACCTCCTGGGTAGGCCTCAGCCAGCCTCTCTCCTGGGTCCTGGCCTGTGTCTCAGGCCCCAGGGCAGTTGTCATTGAGGAGCTGGCCAACTCCCCTGGCTCTACTGCTCTATGGGGTTATACACTCTTTCAGGGTAAGGAATTTGGGTGGGGCCCCCAAAAGGCTATGATCTCAGAGTCACCCCATGGAGCTTGGTCACAGAAGCCTATTGCTGGTTCCCCTTTTAGTGGCAGGTCAACGATCCTCTACAGACTCATCTTCCATACCTACTCTCCTTTCAATACTCCACTTGCCCCAGTCCTTAGTGTACCCTCATTTCCTCACCCCTAAGCTCTGTGCCTGGTGGCCCTCCTACCAGGAAGGCCCTCTCCTCTGTATCTACTCCTGGCTGATATATATGCTCTTCAAAACTTCATCCAGAGCTGGGTGCAATGGAGCATGCCTGTAATCCCAGTGACCTGGGAGGTTGAGGCAGGAGAATTGCAAGTTCAAGGCCAGACTCAGCAATTATGGAGGCTCTAAACAACTTAATGAGACCCTGTCTTAAAAAATAGCCAGGCTGGTGGCATAAGCCTGTAATCCCAGTGGCTTGGGAGGCTGAGGCAGGAGGATCACAAGTTCAAAGCCAGCCTCAGCAACTTAGCAAGGCCCTAAGCAACTTAGTGAGACCCTGTCTCAAAATAAAAAAATAAAAAGGGCTGGAGATGAGCTAAGTGGTTAAGTGCCCCTGGGATGTTCAATCCCCAGTACCCAATAACAAACAAACAAACAAAGAAAAACTTTTCCCAGGTACTGATCCTTTTACCCCCCAAGGCCCAGTTATACACCCCTACCTTAGATGCCTGGCTAGGATGGCTGTCCCCCCAAGAGTCCTTGTGCTGTTTGGGAGAGGGTGAGGCCACTCCCAAACCTAACATTGTCCTGGTTCACCATGGTGCTCAGGAGACAGACAGGACACAGGAAACCTTATCTAAAGAGGCCACAGTGGAAAGGCCTTCTTTGGGTGGGACACAAGCCAGGATAAGGCCTGTGGGATGGGGAGGCCAAGGGCCAGCTCTGTGGGACTGGAACTGGAGGTCAGTGTGGGTATGCATGTCAGCTACCAGCAGTGCCCAGGCCAGGCAGGGCCCCCAGCTAACCTGAGCATATTGTGCAGAGGAAACAGGGCTTTTCAGAGTGTCCAAAACCCTAGGGGAGGTAGCCTTAGCTGGCTCTGGGCCTGTGGTTTCCCCATGGCCCCTGGATGGCCCTGGTGGAGTCAGTGCCTGGCCTCAGGTGTGGACTGAGGCATAGCCCCTATGTTCTGCCTGGCCTGAGCTCTGACCACATCCTCCCTCCAAGCTGCTTCCCAGCCCAGCTTGACCTTCCACCGACTCAGAAGCTCTCAGCTTTGCCATCACCCCTGGCCCTTCTAGAGCCCTCCCATGACTTATTTTGAGGCACCCATCCCAGTTTTAATTGTTCTCATGTACCAGCCCAGAGCTCCTCTGGGGGAGGTGGGCACGTGGCCAGGCCCCTCTGCCCCAGTGTAGCCCCAGCACTGGGCATGGAGAGAGGGACCTGCAAGTGCTATCCAGTCCCTGAGTCTTTCACAGGGTTACAGCCTCTGGCCCTGCTCCCCTGAATCCCTGGGACAAGGCCCTAAGCCAAGGTGAGTTGGCCACAAGCCTGCCTCTGCAGGTGTCCACAGGTTGCTGCCCACCTTGGCTTTGCTGACACTTCATGTCCCTATCTGTCCAAGGAGGTCCATTCTTCTGGTCCTAGGAGTGCCTCTGGCTGCACAAACCTTAACTTTCCAAAGGCACTGATCCTACCTCCACCCCCCGTCTTAAAGCAGGTTTTGGGGGCTCCTGACCCAGAGGGTTTAAGAATTCATGCTTTGGGCTAGGGCTGTAGCTCAGTGGCAGAGTGCTTGCCTAGCCTGTGTGAGGCACTGGGTTCCATCCCTAGCACCACATAGAAATAAACAAATAAAGGCATTCTGTCCATTTACAACTAAAAAAAAAAAAAAAAATTGTTCTGATATCTGGGTTCAAAGGGCACGTGCCTTCTCTCTTGCCCAGCCCTACAAGGGTGATAAAGGTGTCTATGGACCCTGGCCTGGGGTGTGGAGCCTGTTCTGCTTACACAATTCCCTACTTCCAGTCCCTCCACCTCGGAAGATGGCCAGTGGCTGCCCTTCTACCACACAAATCATCAGAGCAGAACAGAGTGGCTATTCATTCAGCAAGCTCCCTGCCTGTTGGCCACAGCCCAGTCACAGCGATGCTAGGCCTTGTTCAGTCAACAAACTTGTGCTGATCTAAGGAGATGGGGGCTGAGCAACAGGCCCAGCACCCCTCCTTCATTTTACTTGTCACCCTAGGGACAGGCCCCTGAGAACGCAGGGAGGCAGCAGCCCTGAGTCACATGGCTTTCTGAGGCTGAGTGGTCAGGCAGGAGGACCAGGAAGGCCTGAGGCAAGTTTAAGACTGGGGGTGGGGGGACTGGGGATACAGCTCAGTTGGTAGAGTGCTTGCCTTGCATACATAAGGCCCTGGGTTCAGTCCCCAGCACCACACACACACACACACACACACACAGACTGGGGGGCACCCTCTTCTGGTCTAGGGGTATTTATTGTGGCCTGGTTCCTGTGGGCTTTCGACTCAGGGAGACACACTGTCTTGTCACTGGCTTTACCTGAGGGTAAAGCCCCTTTACATTTTGGGTCCAGAACACTACTTGAACTTTTTAAAAGCATGCTTTACTTTTAGACTTAATAAAGCTAGTTTCTAAGATTTTTTTCCCCAGATGGCTGAAGCTATGCCTTCCTGTTCTTCACAAGAGGCTTCAGAAGAAGCAAGATGTCTTAACATGTGATAGTTAACCAGGCGCGAGGGGCTAGGGCAGTGGGTTGCGGGACAGTCCTCTTAGCAGCCCGCCTGCTAGATCTGGCTCCACCGCTCTCAGCCCAGCCCAGGGTTTGGACTCCTCCTAGAGACCCTTGCCGGCCGCTTGGCTGTGACCAGGAAGGGTTAGGGCCGGTCATCCCCCACGCCTGGCCGGCCGGGTCACCGATCCCCTGAGGGGCGCCGCGGCCTCAGCTCGGTCGCCCCTTCGCCTCCCGGTGCTACGGTCCAGCTCTTCCACCCGCTCCTGCAGGAACTACCGCAGACCTTCTCCGGCTTCCTAGAAGCGGAGCGGGGAGGGGCGGACGGGACTGTTTTGGGGGCGGGGATAGAGAGGGCCTGGGGCGGAGCCAAAGCCAAGAGCCGGGCAGGAACCGGGACTCAAGCTCCGGGGACGAATCCAGGGACAGGGAGGCCCCGGAGTGGGGCGGGGCCAGGCTGGAGACGGGGCAGGGCGGGGGAGTCTGCGGCCGCTGCAGGGCCGGGTCCGGGTCAAGGGGGGCACCTTGGGCCCGCCCACCCAGGGTCGGCTCCGCCCGCCGGGTCTCGTGACCTGAGTCGGACGGAGCGCGCGGGTCACGAGTGCCAACTAGTCTTGCGGTGACGGTGACGGCGACGGCGACGGCGACGACATGGCCTCGGAATCGGACGTGCGCGCCCAGCTCCAGCGCGCGGGCCAGGAGCATCTTCTGCGCTTCTGGGCCGAGTTGGCCCCGGGGCCGCGCGCCGCGCTGCTGGCTGAGCTGGCGCCGCTCGAGCCCGACGCACTGCGCGAGCATTGTAGACGGGCGGCGGCGGCCTGGGCGCGCGCCTCCGGCCCGCCACCCGGCCTAGCCGCGCGCCTGCGGCCCCTGCCTCCGGAGCGCGTGGGCCGCGCGAGGCTCTGCGACCCCGAGACCCGGCGGCGTTGGGAGGAGGAAGGTAGGTGGTGCAGAGGTCCCGGTGGCGGGTGGCGACTCTTGCGGGCCAGAAGGGGTCATGCCCACCGAGCAGGAGTTTGGTTTGCCTTCCAGCGCTCCCCACTCGCGCGTACTAGTCCCGAGGTCCTGTAGCCGCAGCCCCAGGTTTACCCTCACCCCTAGGTTTCCGCCAGATTGCCCTGAACAAGGTGGCAGTCCTGCTGCTGGCTGGCGGGCAGGGCACTCGGCTGGGTGTCACCTACCCCAAGGGCATGTATGATGTGGGGCTGCCCAGCCAGAAGACCCTGTACCAGCTGCAGGCGGAACGCATCCGGCGGGTGGAGCAGTTGGCTGGCGAGCGCCATGGGACTCACTGCACCGTGCCTTGGTGTGTCCTCCCTGTCCCATTTAACCCCAGAGTGACCACCCTCCCCATGTGGTACCAGCCCTGCCCCACACCAAGGCCTGATCCCCCACACCAGCACAGCCCTGGATAAAGCCCCAAACCCACCCAGGCTGAGGTCTGACAGGCCCCAATCTGGACCCCAGTGCCCTTCTTACACAGCCCCTTTTGGCAGAGAGGTCAGGAGCCCTGGAGCCAGCTCACCACAGTCTCCTCTACAGGTACATCATGACCAGTGAGTTCACACTGGGGCCCACTGCCAAGTTCTTCAAGGAGCATGACTTTTTCCACCTGGACCCTGCCAACGTGGTCCTGTTTGAACAGCGCATGCTACCTGCTGTGACCTTCGAGGGCAGGGCCATCCTGGAGCGGAAAGACAAAGTTGCCATGGCCCCAGGTACCACCCACCACTGAGACAAGAAGGGGCCACCCCGCCTGGATCTCAGTGCAGCTGGGGTTCCAGAGGCCTGGATCCCTGGGTGGATGTGCTGCTGGGAGGCTGTCTAATCGTAGGCCAGTCGCCTCTCCTCTCTGGGCATTGATTGCCATCTGTCGCATGGTACAGCCACAGAGTTATTTGATGGTGAATGTCGGGGCATGCCCACCTGCAACATTTCTTGGACTAGTGGGCGAGGTCTGGCTGGAGCCAGGGATAAGGCCCATTTCTTTCTCCCTCTGCAGATGGCAACGGGGGTCTCTACTGTGCTCTAGAGGACCACCGTATCCTGGAGGACATGGAGCTTCGGGGAGTGGAGTTTGTGCATGTGTACTGTGTGGACAACATCCTGGTGCGACTGGCTGACCCTGTCTTTATTGGCTTCTGTGTGCTGCAGGGTGCCGACTGTGGGGCCAAGGTGAGCGCCAAGCCCCGCCCCTCCACCAAACCCCTCACATTCAGCCCGGCCTCACCCAGTGCTGAGCCCATCCCTCGTGACTGCAGGTGGTGGAAAAGGCGTACCCTGAGGAACCTGTGGGCGTGGTGTGCCAGCTGGACGGGGTCCCCCAAGTGGTGGAGTACAGTGAGATCAACCCTGAGGTTGCCCATCTGCGTGGCACCGATGGTGGACTGATTTACAATGCAGGCAACATCTGCAATCACTTCTTCACCCGCGACTTCCTCCAGACCATCACCAGGTAGCCAGCAGGAGGCTGTGGAAGCCCAGCGAGAGCTGCCTACCATGACCAAGGGCCAGCATGCCAGATGGGCCAGGGCCACGGCCACTGGGGCTGTGGGGTTAGGTGGAAAAAGTTCCTGTTTTTAAGCCCAGGACCCAGGAGATCCACCCTGGGCTGCATTCTGTGGGCGACCTGTGTGGGGCTCTGTGTCAAGCCTGTCTTCTGCTTGTGGGCCTCCTTGCCCTCAGACACCGTCTCTTCCCTATGACTTGCTGGTTTCCATTAGCCTGGGCAGGGGTGTGGCTGGGGGTGTGGGGTGGCGGGGAACTGTGCCCTCCTCAGAGATCTGGCTGGGCCTCCTCACCTGTGCCTGGGCGCCCTACTACCAGCCTGCCCTGCCTGACCAGGTGCACCAAGAGGTGGGGACAGGGATCCCAGAGGTGTCCTGTCTGACTCCTCCCTATCCTCCTTCCCCCCAGGGACTGTGAGCCCCTGCTACAGCCACACGTGGCTGTGAAGAAGGTTCCCTATGTGGATGAGGGGGGAAACCTGGTGATGCCACTGAAGCCAAACGGCATCAAGATGGAGAAGTTCGTGTTTGATGTGTTCCCATTTGCTAGGTTCGTGGTAGAAGTCATTATTTTTTCCTTCTTGACTCTTTTTTGGTGGTGGATCCTGAGGCCCATCCAGGTAGGGAAGTGGAGGCTCGGTGAGGGGCCAAGGGACTGGGAGGCTGTGGACAGGTCTGGGGAGAAGGCCAGAGAGCATTCCTTTCTTGAGGAAGTGGCCCAGGCTGGGGAAAAGGGGACATCTGGGCAGCTGGCTGGTGGGGAGACACGGGTGCCCCTCCTGGATGTCCACTGCCCTCGCCCTTCCTACTCAGGAGTATCAGCAGGTGGCTGGTGGCTCCCAGTGCCCTTGAGCCTCATCCTGGCTGGCTCCAGGCTTTGGGCAGAGACAGTGGGAGGAAGCTGACTTGGAGGGAAGACCCTCCCTGGATCTGCTGCTCTTGGGAACAGACTCCCTGAGAACAGGGCCCCCCTTGCCTGCCCAGACCAGGGCTACTGGCTGGGCCCAGGATGACCAGGCCTTCTCCCCACCAGGAACTTTGTTGCCTTTGAAGTGCTTCGGGAGGAGGAGTTTTCCCCGCTGAAGAATGCTGAGGCAGCCAGCCGGGACAACCCTTCCACCGCCAGGCGTGCCCTGCTTGCTCAGCACTACCGGTGGGCTCTGCAGGCTGGGGCCCGCTTCCTGGATGCACACGGGGCCCAGCTTCCTGCACTGTCCTGGTGAGCCTGCCCTGGGGTGTGGCCTGGAGGGGCCAGGGCCCGGCCACTGTCCCGGTTGGGGGGGCTTTTGCTCTAGCACCCTACCACACGCTGCTGGTCACACACCCAGAGAGTCAGCCTGCACTCTGTCTCACCCTTGAGTTCTGCTGGGCAGGGGGCTTAGACTCTGAACTTACAAGCTTTGAGGAAGACCCAGGCAGAGCTGTCAGAAGACATCAGGTTCTCCGACTCAGGACTGGAAAGGAAAGGACATTTGGCTTCTGATTCCCCAGCTATCTGCAGCTGAGCGAGACCTGGCTGTCTGGGCTGTGTGGGCTATATTCTAGCCCAGGCCAGAGCCTGTGCCTTGGGACGGCTGAGTGCACAGAGGCAGAGTGCTGGGAAGGGGGCCTGTGTGTGGAGCTCGGCTGCCAAGGGATGCTGGGGGGCGTCCAGGGCATGCTCCGCACATGGGGTGCTGGGGCGTTCAGGGCATGCTCCGCACATGGGGTGCTGGGGGGGTCCAGGGCATGCACAGGAGGCAGATACTAACCCATGGACTTCCCCCAGCTTACCCCCAGATGGAGACCCTCCGGCCATCTGTGAGATATCGCCCTTGGTGTCTTACTCTGGAGAGGTGAGAGCTGCCCATTCCTGTCTGGGGCTTTTCTGGGGTCTGGTGGTGTGAGCCAGAGGAAGGCTCTGGGGAAGCTGGGTGCAGAGTGGGCAAGTCACCGCCCTGCCTCAGTTTATCAGTGAGGTAAAAGTTTCCTTAAAGAGGACCTTTTGGGGTATAGGTAGGGGAAGGTGTCCAGAGGCCTTTGTGGAGGAATGACCAAGGTCTGAGTCTCAGGCCAGTCACTCACTGAGCGGGGACACTAGCTCTCTGCTGAGCCTCCCTGGCTCCAGGCAGAAATGGGCAGCTGAGAGGTGGATGCTGGACATTGTGATCTAATTGTTTCAGGGTTTGGAAATGTACCTGCAAGGCCGGGAGCTGCAGTCCCCGTTCATCCTGGATGAGGAGCAGGCCGGGGTTCTGCGGCTGCAGGAGATGTGACTCTCCCAGGCCTACAGCACGGAAGCCCTTGGGTGGAGACGCAGCCGTGTCCTGCGACCCCTTGGAATGCAGACTGCTGTGCACCTTCAGCCTGCAGGACCCAGAGGGGAAGATGCTCCTCCACTGAATGAGATGCCCCTCCTCCATCACCTGTAGACACAAGTGACCACCAGCCTGCCATGGGCTTTTGGCTTCGTTTCTGGCACTGGGATCTGGCTGGGAGGCCAAGGGTTTCAGGACCTTGGAGAATGATACTGAAAAGAGGCGTCAGGTGGGGTAGGAGGGATGTGTGCATCTGGAGAGCCCAGTGATGGGGATGACCCTGTCTCTCTGGAAGCCACTCTGACTGACATGTAGGCGGCAGAGATGGGGAAGGCACACTGGCTGTGGCTGAGGCACTGTTGAGACTTCAGATGGGGAAATGGAATGAGCTGACAGGTCTTATTGCCCCAAAGGGGCTTGTTAAGGGGCTGTCCCTTCCCTCCTTGGCAGCTGAATCAGTAATGGGCGAGGCTGGGGTCCTCACCCTGCATGCCACATGGAGGCCGACAGGAGGTCTGGCTGTCCACAGCAAAGGCTCTGAGTTAGCTGGGCCCCTCCCTTGCTCTTGGTCATGTCTATAGGGCTGTGGCTGCAGATTGAGTGCTTCCCCCCAGGAACCAGTGAGGCCAGTGCTGGGGACCCCCTGGGTGGTTGCTCACAATCAGCTGGGTCAGGAGTGCAGCTCTTGCCCTGCCTACCTGCAGCTTTTGACAGATCCTGGCGCTTGGGCTCCTCCAGGCTCTTGGGGACACTGGCTCAGCCCCGCTTTGGTGCTCTGGCCCTCTCCTGCGCTCTGAACGAGGCTCCATCTTCACCAGCATCACCCACCCTCCACTGTGGGAAGTACCCTGCGCTGTCATGGCCACTGGCCCCAGCCCTGCAGCCCCCACTCATCCCTGTCTGGAAGCTGGACCCCTACGGGGCATGCCCGTCCGCCCAGCCTGAGCAAGAGGGCTGTGTCAGGCCCGTGCCTTTCCACCTGTGCTTGGCCCCACGGTGGTATCACTGCAAACCTCAGCAGATCACGTCCCTTAGCACCTTGTTGTAGCTGCTGCACAGGCGAATAGAGGACCCAGGGCAGGAGACGAGCCTCAGGCCCCCGTCCTGCCCACGGCTGTGCCTCATGGCCATGACTGGAACCATTATGAAACCTTGTATACAAGTACAGTTAATTGGGTAAATTCTTGGAAGAACTAAAAAGAAGAAACACTCGATTACTCCTCCACATGGGTACAAGGACAGGGAGGTCTCCTGTGCTTCCCCAGCTTCCCCCGTGTTGGGTGCCTTTGTTTTTGTCTTTTGGTGCTGGGGATTGACCCAGGGGTGCTCTTTCACTGAGCTATATCCCAGCCCTTTTTATTTTTTGAGGCGGGGTCTTGCTAAGATGCTGAGGCTGGCCTTGAACTTGTGATCCTCCTGCCTCTGGCTCCTGAGTTTCTGGCATTACAGGCCTGCACAGTGTGCCTGGCACACTTTTGTGTCTTGCATGACAACAGTACAGCAGTGAACCAGGAATGTGATGTGGGTACGGTGCTCCAAGTCATTGCAGGGTGCCTTCGAGGTGCAGGACTGTCCCCATCACAGACCTCCCCTTCTTATTCACACTCCTACTACGAGCCCAGCCCACTCTCAAGAGGCGATCAGCTCTTGAAAGACTGTCCCAACTTCACTCCACAGATGGGCACTTGCAATAAACAAGGTGCTGAGATTGGTCACTACCCAGACGGGGGCAGTTTTCGAGGAGCACACAGGTGGTGGGAACGGGAGCCAAGTGTGCACAGCTGTCTGACGGCTGGAGCTTGGGGGCCTTGTGGGAACTGGAGTCCACACTTGGAGTGGAGACCACTCTGGGGTGCCCAGGAACCCCCTCGTGCCTCTGCCCGGCCCCTCACCAGGGCTGAGACAGCCCAGGGGCTGGGAGGCATGGGGAGCTCTCACAGCTGCTGGGGGCTCCTCCTCCTGCTCCGGCCTCCTTGAGATACATGGTTTCCCTGGAGCCACGTTTGAGGGCACTGCTGGGACTGCCGGTAGAGCTGTGCACGAGACCTCAAAGATGATCCCGAGAAGGGAGGGATGGTGGGACCAGGAGAGTTTCCACACAGATGCAGGTGGGCCAAGCACGGACAGGAGGTGGGAGCCAAGGGGGGCCCAGGCTGTGGGCCCTGCAGAGCAGGGGGATCAGGAAGGGCGGGAGAACACGCAGCAGGGCCCTGGGACTCCACGGCTACCTCCCCACTCTTCTAGAGGGAGCTGTGTCTGAGACCCAGAGGTGCTGGGGCATGGTGTGTGTGACCCCCCCAACTCCAGCTCCCTGGAGGCCAGTCTCTGGCAGGCTTACCTCTGCCTGCAGCTTCCCTTGTCAGGCGCGGGCTCCTGCCCCTGGGGCCTCCTGTTGGGGCTGCTTGCAGGAACTCAGCCCCACGCCATGCTTTCCCAAACAGGCTTTCTTTGAAATCTTAGTGGAAGCCTCGTGACCCTGTAATCCCTGCATGCGGCATGCTGCCATCCAGCATCCCGTGAACACCAAGCCCGCACCAACACAGACCCTCAGGCACCTGAAACATGACTGCAGCAGCCTCAGTGCTGGTGAGAAACTGATTCCTGGTGGCTTTGGGCACATCAGGCACCCAAGGCTCCTTTCTCAGACTGCCCTGGAAAGTTGGATGCAGATTCCTATCTCCCCCTTTCTGAGCGACTCCTGGTTTATTGTATGGCTTCGGTGCAGAAATAGCTGATTTTTTTTTTGGCCCTGCATCCTTGCACTGTCCTGGGCTGCACTTGACCTACACTCCTCTCCCATCCAAGCTGCAAATCTCCCAATCTTCCTCTTCACTCCTGACCCTCCCTGGTTTGTCTAAAAGCAGCAGGTGACACCCATACTGAGGTCTGCCCATCGCCTTGGAGTTCGGCCTCAGTGTAACCAAGATGGCTTTTGGTCCAGTTCCTGAGTTCCTCATTTCCACCTGAAATGCCGCCCTTTGCCACCTGGGCCGCCCCCACCAGCACTCCTGGCTCCACAGCCCCCACCGTCACCACAAAGTTCCACAGACAGCTTCAGGCTTCCTCTGGCTGCTCCTCCAAATTCTCCCAAACCTAAGTCACGTGTCAGGTATCACGATCCCCCAGACTGCCCCACCCCTCGGTACCAAAGCTGTGACAAGCTTTTCTTCACCACCACAAGATACCTGAGGTGATTATAAAAGGGAAAGATTCATCTGGGCCCCTGGTTTCAGAGGTCTTAATGCAGACTGGCCCTGCTGCTTTGGGGCTGTGGTGAGGCAGCATGTCACGGGGTGTGTGTGTGTGGGGGGGGGGAGCCTCTAGGCCCTTGGGGCCAGAAGGCAGAGAGAAGGGAAGGGGCCAGGACCCCACAGGCTCCTTTTGGGCTTGCCTCCAGTAACACTGGGACCTCCCAAAAGGCCCCATCTCCCAACAGTACCTGACTGGGAACCAAGCCTTTGCCACCAACATTCAAGTACAGAACTCTCAAAATACAAAGGGAACCTTCAAACAGCAGGAGAGACCTGTCACAGACAAGGGCTCTCCAGGGAGATTAATGGCCGATTCCCCGTCACAATCACAGGGGCCAGAAGTAAGTGGGGTGATCATTTACATATTGTGGTCCTGGGGACTGAACCCAGGGGTGCTGTACACTGAGCGTTGTACCACCAGCTCTTTTTTGTTCAACGTTTTATTTTGAGACAGGGTCTTGCTAAGTTGCCCAGGCTATCCTTCCTTGAACTTGGGATCCTCTCGCCTCAGTGTCCCAAGGCACCAGGATTGCAGGTGTGTGCCCTGTACCTGGCAGGAATGACACATTAAATGTGAGGAGTAAAATACATTAACCACCTGGGTGTGGTGGTGCACGCCTGTGATCCCAGAGGTTCAGGAGGCTGAGGCAGGAGGACTGGGAGTTCAAAGCACCCAAGTGGGACTTACCAGCATGATTCGGGGGGTGGTTTGTATCAGAAACCCACCAGAATAGCAGACCACGCTGTGTGAGCAGAAGGGAAAAGCCACAGTCACTCTCAGTGGGCACAGAAAAGGCGCTAATAACTGCTGGTGCCCTCCACGGTGGAAGGGGACCTTGCCATGTCACAGAGATCTTATGAGAAACCCACAGCTAACATCAAGCTCAGTGGCAGTGCCCGTGAGCTTGTCCTCCAAGATCAGGGACAGGGAAGAGGCCTGCTTCCCCACTGCCATTCACTGTCACACTGGAAGGCCAGCCAGGCAGCTGTGGAGGAAAGGTGCAAAACCGTGTCTACCTACAGATGACAGGAGCCCATACGTATAAAATCCCCCCAAGTTCCACACAAAAGCTGCTAGAACTGGTAAGAAAATGCAGTGAAGTTGTAGGGTTTGAGATCAATGAACAACTCCACTGCATTTCCACGCACCATCAAGAACAATCTAAAAAGGAAATTCCAGGGGCTAGGCTGTGGCTCAGCAGTAGAGCACTCGCCTAGCACGTGCGAGGCACTGGGTTGGATCTCTAGCATCACATAAAAATAAACAGATAAAATGAAGATATTATGTCCAACTACAATTTAAAAAAACCTGAAGAGTTTAAAATAAAATTTATTTAAAAAAAGAAAACAACTCCATTTACAACGGCATCTACAAGAATAAAACACCTAAAGGCACATTTAATCAGTGAAGTGAAACACACTGAAAACCACCAAGTGCTGTTGCAGAAAGGAAAGATCTGAATAAGGAGAAAGATGCCCCTGTGCATGCACAGGAAGGACACTAGGACACTATCAACAGAGCAAAGAGATAGCCGTAGCTAGGCGTGGTGGCGCACACCTGTGATTCTAGCGGCTCGGGAGGCTGAGGCAGGAGGATAGCGAGTTCAAAGTCAGCCTTGGCAATGGCAAGGTGCTAAGCAACTCAGTGAGACCCTGTCTCTAAATAAAATACAAGATAGAGCTGGGGATGTGGCCCGGTGGTTGAGTGCCCCTGAGTTCAATCCCCGGTACCCCTGCCCCCAAAAAAAGACAGCTATAGAATGGAGGAACAGGGTCTTGTTAGTGGCCCAGGGTGACCTCCAACTTGTGATCCTCCTGCTTCAGACTCCTGAGTCACTGGGATTACAGACATGTACCTCTATGTCTGGCCAGCAAACCCACTTCTGTGTTCATGCACAAAGGAATTGAAAATAGGGACTTGGGTAGTATTGTACACCTGTATTTATTGCAGTTTATTCACAAAAGCAAAGATGTGGAGCAACTCAAGGGTCTGTTGACAGGTGAATGGACACACACAATGTGGTGACATCTACAGTGGATCAGCCAGGAAAAGCAGGGACTTACACAGCAGGGGTGTAGTCACCTCTGGGCACTGCTGAGTCTACCCAGTGACACATCTGGACTCAGCTCCCAGGGAGAGCAGAGGATGCTGCCAGGCTTGGAGGGGGCTGGACACTAATGTATAAGGAGGTTGTTCTGTTGGGGTGCTGAAGTAGCTTGTGAAATAGATAACAGTGACCATGCATCACACTGAATCCCAGCTTCACCATCACTAAGAGTACATCCTTATGGGTTTACTACAGAGACCAGCAGGGCCCTAAGGCAGGTGCAGCAGGCGTGGAGTGGAGCTCTGGACTGATTTGGGAACAGTGTCCCCCCAGTGCCAGCAGCTCTGAGGTCTGAGCAGGCAGAGTGGATAGTGGTCAGGGACTGGCACGGTCCCAGGATCTCTGTCTGACCTGGGAGAGGTGGGAGGAGGTGGGCCAGAAGCACTGAGCAGCCTGGGTGGACTGGGGGTGAGGAAGGGCTAGGTCACTGCCTCCTGGCCTCCCAGAGCCCAGACCCCTGGGATGCCCCTCACCTGGTACCCCTCTCCCTCTGTCCTGCAGATCTGCAGCAGATGCACACACCTGGCCAGCCTGGGGATGTAAGGAGAGGGGCCCTCAGAGCTCCAAGTCTGCAGCAGGTGCCTAGGCCCACCTGCTCTTGGTTGCTCTGCCCCGAGTGACCACTGTGCCCTACAGGCTGAAAGTAGTAGAGAACATGACATGGGGTGACCTGGAGCTGGGGGCGAGCCACTGTAGAAGCTATGCCCCGAGGGCAAGATAGGCACTGGGTCCAGGGCCATCTTCTGGAAGAGGCCTTGCCACGTGTGCCAAGGGGTCACTCAGAAGCCTCACCTCCACAGGAACCATCGGCCTTGCCCACCCTCACAGGCTCTGGGGACCCTGGCTGCTGCCCTGGACAAGAGAGAAGAGCCACTCTGAGACCCCACCCAGGGGTCTCTGCAGGGCCAGCTGAGTGGACATGGCTCCATTCATGCTTGAGTCCCCTAGGCCATGGACGGACTCTGGGGAAGGCGGCTCCTCCCTCCTGTGCTTGCGTGGGCACAGTGGGTGCCAGTCAGGGGAGCAGAACAGCCATGTTCCTGCCTGCCCAAGCCCCGGGCACCCCCACTTCCATGGTTGGGCCCCTGCTTTCATCAGGGGCCCCTTCCTGGAGCCCATGTCCCCCCCGTGGGGAAGGCCAGGCCTCTCCTCCTGCCTTGCTCTGCCTGAGGACACTGCCCCACAGCCCTGTCACCCTGTGCTTTGGTGCTCGGGGCAGCTGGCTGCTGCTTGGCTGTGGGCACACCCTGCCCCGCGTGGGCCCACAGGCAGGTGAGCTGACTGGGCTGCTGGGCGGGGGCAGGCTCGGCCGTCTCCCTCGGGGCCTTCCTGGGGCCTGGGCTCCCTCCCTTCTCCCTCCGGGACCCTCTCCCCATTCTGTGGCCCTCTTTGGCTGGCACACGTGCCCTGCCCACTGTGCCCACTCAGCCCGGGCCCAGCCCTCGTCTGCCTTGTGGGTCCCATGGCAACCATCCCCATGGGAACACAGTGGGTGCCCAGGAACCCTCAGGACCTGCCAGGACACAGAAGCTGAAGCCTACTGGAGGGTCAGGCCAGCCCTGCTCCTGGTTCCAGCTACGGTAGGAGGACCAGCCCCGCCCTGATTGTCACATGAGGCCGCCCTACTGTCATGTGATCCTGCTCACGTGACCGCCGGGTGCCGTTCACAGAGCCAGACATGAGGCCCCAGTTCAGGGTGCCCCTGGACTGTGGGGCCCCTTTCTGGGCACAGGTCCTGCTGCTGACACTGGGGCTGGGTGACGTCCAGGCTGGGGGTGAGTGTCGATCCAGCGGCCCCTCCTCCCTGACCCTTCAGGCCCTGGGCACCCCTGGCCCCTGATGGTCCCTGAGCCCCCGTTCTCCCCTCAAGCCCACAGAGGCTTGGACGCTGGCTTTTGGGAGAGGTACTTTGAGCAGTTTATGGACCATTTCAACTTTGCGAGGTTTGGCAACAAGACCTTTTACCAGCGGGTGCTGGTGTCAGGTGAGCCCTGCCCCGTCACCTACCTGCTGCACCTGTCCTGTCCTCACTGCCTGGTGCCTGTTGCACCTGCCCTGGCCTCACCCACCCCGTCCCCTGCAGACAAGTTCTGGCGAAGGGGCGAGGGGCCCATCTTCTTCTACACGGGGAACGAGGTGGACGTGTGGACTCTGGCCAACAACACAGGCTTTGTGGTGGAGCTGGCAGCCCAGCAAGGTGCCCTGCTCATCTTTGCGGAGCACGTACGTACCGGCCAGCTCCAGGGGTCCCCAGACGGCGGCTGGGCACAGGGGGCAGCCAGGTCAGCCTTCCTTCCTCACCACAGCGCTACTACGGGAAGTCGCTCCCGTTTGGGGAGAAGTCCATGCAGCCCGGGTACACCGAGCTGCTGACCGTGGAGCAGGCGCTGGCCGACTATGCCGTGCTGATCCAGACCCTGCGGCAGAAACTAGGAGCACAGGGTGGCCCTGTCATCACCTTTGGAGGGAGGTGAGTCTTCAGAGACCAGCAGAGGGCTGGCAGGGCCACCATGGGCAGAGGTGGAACCCCTGCTCGTCCTCCTCCCTGACACCCACCCCAAATCCCCAGGGTGGCCATCACCCTGTCCAGACCAGTCAGGCCTGGAGAGAGTGCGGCCTCCTGAACACACCCCACCCCCGCCTAGCCTGAGTGCTCAGGTGTCACTTGTCCCCTCTGCCCCAACCCCCCACCTTTCCCGAGTCCACGGCAGCTCCAGACCTTGTGCTGCCTGCTCCAGGAAGCCCTCCCACTGGTCCTGAGCCAGTCCCCAGGCTGGGCCGAGGAGAGGGATGTCCACCAGGGACCTTTTCCCAGCGAAGGCTGTGCCTGACTGAGGCCAGGGTCAGAACTGGTGGTCACGGAAGTTTCAGTTCCTTCTTTTAACACCTGTGGTCTGCAAGGAAAGCAGAGGAAGTGGGTGTGGGGGGCGGGAGGACAGTCAGAGGCCAGGGCAGGGCTGCGGCCGAGCACAGGCTGAGCACCCTAACCTGTGCCTGCCCAGCTACGGGGGGATGCTCAGCGCCTACATGAGGATGAAGTACCCCCACCTGGTGGCAGGGGCGCTGGCAGCCAGCGCACCCGTCCTGGCTGTCGCGGGCCTTGGTACCTCCAACCAGTTCTTCCGGGACGTCACAGCGGTGAGTGAGGGCCTGGGGGTCCTGGGCCAGCCTGGGCCAGCCACTTCAATGACTGCAGTCTGTTCTCCAGACCTTCCACAGCCAGAGTCCAAGGTGTGTCCAGGGCGTGCGGGAGGCCTTCCAGCAGATCAGGGACCTGTTCTTACAGGGAGGTGAGGGGCCACAAGGCCACTGCCCTACCTGCCCCCTCTGCCCCCTCCCGCTACAGCCCCCATGGCCCATGCCCCACCAAACCTTCCAGCAGCCTCCCTCTGCCCCTTCCCTGTAGCCCGTGACAGGGTCAGCCAGGAGTTTGGCACCTGCCAGCCACTCTTGGACACAAAGGACCTGACTCAGCTCTTTGTGTTTGCACGCAACGCCTTCACTCTGCTGGCCATGATGGACTACCCGTACCCCACTGACTTCATGGGGTACCTGCCTGCCAACCCTGTCAAGGTGAGGCGCCTCTTCTAGGTGCAAGGCCAGCCCAGCTTCCCTGGGTGGTTGGGGGCAGCCCAGCTTCGGGGCCTTGCTTCTACTCAGGTCAGTTCATCCCCACAGCCCTGACCCTCATCCTGGGACCATGAAGGTTGGGCTGTGGACGGGGGACTCCTCTGAGATGCTCTGCTGCCCCTATATCCCAGGTTGGCTGTGCCCGGCTGCTGAGGGAGGCCCAGAGGATCGTGGGTCTGCGGGCACTGACAGGTGAGTCTGACCCTCAGCTTTACATAGGGCAAGTATGGAGACCCAACTGCTGGTCTGGGGCTGGGCAGAGCAGGGACTTGCAGCCCTGGACTGGGGCTCTGCCTTGTGACCACCTGGGCTGCGGCAGGAACGCCATGAACCGCAGCTGAAGGACAGAAACAGAACCCGTGCCAGGAGGGCTGGGCAGAAGCTCTGTAGGGTGGCAATGAGGTCCCCACAGGAGGTGCTGTTTAGTGGGGCCCCTGGGGTCCCCAGGCATGGAGGTCAGCATGCCCCACCCTGCCAGTGGGGAAGGTCAGGTGACACTGGAGTGCCTTCAGTAGCCAGGGGCAGAGCTGACGGCAGAGCCCCACAGATCCCCAAGCAGAGCCCAGGGACTCCCCACCTGCAGGGCCCTCCCAAGGGGGGTGGGTTGGTAACCTGAGCGTGCAGGATTTGTGTCCACTGCTGATCCCGGCATCCCTCCTCCCAGGGCTGGTCTACAACTCCTCGGGCACAGCGCACTGCTATGACATCTACCAGCTGTACCACAGCTGTGCGGACCCCACTGGCTGTGGCACTGGCCCTGATGCCATGGCTTGGGACTATCAGGTGTGGGGTGTGGGCAGCATGAGTGGCTGGATGTGGGTGTGGGTACTCCCCCTGCCTGCCTGACCTTGGGGCGGGGCATCCAGGCCTGCACCGAGATCAACCTGACCTTTGACAGCAACAACGTGACGGACATGTTCCCTGCCCTTCCGTTCACCGCCACGCTCCGCCAACAGTACTGCCTGAATAAGTGGGGCGTGTGGCCTCGGCCGAACTGGCTGCAGACCAGCTTCTGGGGCGGTGGTAAGGGCTGGGGGTGGGGTTGCTGGGCAGCATCCTGAATCGGCACTTGCCACAGTTCACAGCTCCAAGGGCCACACTGGGTCCTTTGCCACCACTTGGTGTCTTTCAGACCTCAGAGCCACCAGCAACATCATCTTCTCCAATGGTGACCTAGACCCCTGGGCAGGGGGCGGGGTGAGTCCTGGTCTGGGCAGCTGTGGACCCCCTTGAGAACTTTTGGAGCCGGGGCCACTGGTTTTGCTGAGTGGTATCAACGGGGCCTCCCTATCAGCCTACCAGAACCTCAAAGAGCCAGCTTGGCCCCGAGGCCCCCTCAGTTCCACCCTCCACTTCTGCTCCGGTCCCTACTGTTCCCACTTTCTGGTTTCTGTTTCCTGATTACTCAAATGGATAGACATCTGGCTCGCTGACCTTCACCTTCCCTCTCCAATGGGGCCGCTGGAGCCCATGCTGACAGCTGGGTGGGAAGGCTGAGGGGGGCTGCTTATGGCCCACAGCACAAGCTGCGAGCCTGACAGGAGATCCTCCCACCAACGACAGATTCTGAGGAACGTGAGCGCGTCGGTCATTGCTGTCACCATCCACGGGGGAGCACACCACCTAGACCTCAGGTGCAGCCAGGCAGTCCCACCTAGGCTGACAGCTGGGTGTGGGTGAGGCTCACCCTGACGGTTGGGGTCTGCATGTCCAGCTGAGTGCCCCCAACCCCTGTGCCCTCTTCAGGGCATCCCACCCACAAGACCCCAACTCGGTCCTGGAGGTGCGCAGGCTGGAGGCTGCTCTCATCCTCGAGTGGGCGAAGGCAGCCCGGAGTAGGCAGCAGTGTCCTGGACACCCTGAGGAGTGAGGAGCTGCTGGCCGCCCGTCCTGCCCTGGACACACTGTTTAGGTCCACAGTGTGGCTGGGGCATTGTGGGGACCTCAAGCAAAGGGGCTGGGTGTGTCCCTGGAGGCTGGGCAGGAGCCCCCTGCCCAGCGCCTGCTGAAGCTGCAGAATGTTCAATAAAGCACAGACTTGACTCCAAGGCTGGCACTTGAGGGCAACGGGGGGCAGGGGGAGATTTGCCTTTCCCAGGGACCCACCTCCCTGCCCAGAAAGCCACTCCACACCCTGAAAAAGCCCATTGCTTGGTGGACAGAACTTCATTAGAGCCTCAGGCCCTCAGCAACCCCCGGGAGGGCCATGCTCCCAGCCCTCGGCATTGGCCACCCCTTCCAGAGCACATATATTTGGGAGTTGGAGACAAGATATGGAAGCTGTACTTTACTTGGCTGCTCAGGACCCACTTACATCCAATCCCTGAGCAGGCCGCAGCTGCTGCCCAGTCCTGCCTGTTCAGTATATGGAACTCCTGGCCCAGGCGGGCTGTGGGGGAACATGGCTACCCCCTCAATGTGGGGAGGTTGTAGGGTTTCCTCAGTGAATCTAGGAGCCATAAGGCTGAGGTCCAAGAACACGTTGCAGCCAGGCCCTTCCACGCACACACTTCTGGGGTCAGAGTTGGCCTGTGGTGTAAGAAACAGAGGAGGGCCCTGAGGGCACTTGCCATCCTGGGAGGCACAGGTAGCTGACACAGGAGGGCCCAGCTGCAGGCAGGCAGGGAACACATCCTGCCAGGCCTAAGGGGCCAAGATCTTGAAGGCCCCAGCCCATCAGGTGGCCCCAGGGTGCTGCCTGGGCTCCAGCTTTTCAGTTGAGAACTTCCAGAAATGACAAAAGCAAAGGGTTCCTTATGTTAACACAGACAGGCAGAGAGACCACCTTGGTCTGTAACAGAGGACCCCAGCCAAGGCCCAGGGCCAGCCCCGTGACAAGGACCCTGTACCTGATGATAAGGACCCTGCAGCTGATGGCAAGGATGAGGACAACTGTCCTGGTATCCAAGGCTTGGCACCACTCAAGAGACCTCACTCCAAGAACGTGCTGGCTAGCAGCCTCAGGGCACTGCAGACTGTCAGGACCCAGCTGACAGAAAGAAAGGTGACCCCGCTGACCCACGTCACCACACTGCAGGGCTTCTCCAAGCAGGCCCTTCTCACCTGGAGGGCAGCAAGAGTCCTGACCTTGGGATGGATACTGAGGGGAGACCCAGAACTGCTACCCAAAGGTTGGCCCAGACTTCCCAGCCCAGAGACCCCCTTCCACACACAGGAGCTGCCACACTGGTAGCAAGTGGGTTTTATCTCAACTGAGAAGTCCCTTTCCATCCAGAGGCCTGGGAGCAGGAAGAACCGGCCACCCAGCCGCAGCAAGCCCCTCCAGGCAGTCAGGATCCCTGAGTCCAATGTGTAAACACCCACTCCAAGAAAGGCTGGCCCCCGGGGAGGTCCCAAGCCACGGCCTGCCAGGCCACAGAGGCTCCTCCAGATCATGGGCCAGGGCACATCCCAGGCCACCAGCTGGAGCAGAGCTGCCTGGCGGGCCCCCCCAGCTCCTCTCTGAACACGACTCAGCAGCCTCAGAAGGCGACCAGAGGGCCCAGGGCCACCAGGAAGCTCCCTGAAAGCCAGTCTGCTGGGACATCAGGGACAGGAGTCAGGAGTCGTGATGTGATTTTCTTGAGGATGAAGGCCGAAGGTGCTTGGTGAACTGGTCACATGGGGCTCTGGTTCCTCACACCACCCTAATCAGAAGCAAGAGCCCAGGAGAGCCCAGAGCTGGGGCAGGAGCATTGGCGCTTGGCAGCCGCCCAGTACCACAGGGCCCCGTGGCACATGCCAGGCTCGGTGAGGCCACACTAACCCCCTCAGCTATCCCAGCCCGGAGCCGCCCTAGGAGAGGGCCCAGATGGGCAAGGGGTGGGCTTCTGTGTTGAACACATAGGTGTCCAGGCTGAGCAGGTTCTGGTCGTCGGAAAACAGCAGATAGAGGTACTTCAGGGTCTCCCCCAGGAAAAAGCTCTCCATCTTGTCCCTAGGCTCAGGCTTGTGGGGGTTCTGGACATTGTTGATGGATGTATAGCCACCTGAGGGGACCTGTAGGAGAGGCAAGGCCTCTGAGACGTGGGCTGGGCCCCCCCACGGTCCCCACAAACCCAGTGCAGGCTTGGGCTGGAGAGTGCCTCAACAACAGCCCCTAAAAGTTAGCTGTGCTTCTACTAGGGACCCCTGGAAAATGCCAGCAGCCTCTGAGTGCCTACAACAGAAACTCCCTCTCCAGCACCTGGGCTGAGGGACCTCAGCAAGGACGGACGAGGGCACAGGGTCTCCAGGGCCAGAGCTTCAGGTACAACTGGGCAAAGGGCAGGGGCAGCTGGCTGGAAGCTGGGACAGCTGAAGTCTTGGGCCCCAGGCCAGGGGACAACACACAGAGCCAGGTGTCAGGGTGGGGCTATGTCTGTCTCTGGAGCCACAGTGGTGGTTGCTGGGCCTGGGGCCATCTGTAAGACAGGACGCCAAGCATCTTGCAACCACAGGGTGGGCAGCGCCCTGGTCACTGCAGCAAGTGCCTCTCAAACAATGGGCTACACTCTTGGGAGTGCAGCA